TCAAACAGAGAATCAGATGGACATGAACATCCTGAATCCTAAAGTCTCTGACAACGGAAACGTCTGAACTTCAGGTGATCGACTTTAATTAGGAGGTTTATTTGAAATGTAGCTTCCTGGTGCTAAAGCGCTAACACCACAAGTGTTAAAGGTTTTATTTCAATTCTGCAAAGACTGTATACATTAAATTTAAAAAAACTAATCAATCCTTTTATTGTTAATAAAATTGGAAGAAATTACTCAACCTGGTCATTTTTTACAGAGCAATTTTAACCCATTTATTGAACCTAAATGGTCGCAATTGAACCTAAATGGTCGCAAATATACAGAAACACAGCAATCATGGGGGGGGGGTAGCAGTTGCAGTAGTTAAGGTAGAAGCTCAAAGCTGCCTCATGTAAATCTTGGTTTTGCCAGATTTGCAGGATGAGCCGTTTAGCGCCCTCTGCAGGCTAATCCTGGGATTACTCCAACATAAGGGTACCTCATGATCTCAAACTTTGCCCACATTCTACCACTGAGCCACAGCCCCGCCTGATTAGACTATGTGAGTTTTTAAATAGGTTTCAGCAGAACAGGTCAACCTTAAATATATCACATTAATGTTAATGTAAAGGCATGCTACATTCAGCATCGCTGGGTTTGTGGTTTGTCGTCCATTGTGTTCCATCCACCTGTGCTCTCGAGTCCTCGTGCAGCTGATGCTCAGATCACTGATCCTCTGCTCCACTTTCACTCAGGCCTCAGCTGCTCTCAGATCAGACTCCCACAGTCCTCAGCAGTAAACCTGCTCTGCTTTGATCAGGCAGGGAGGTGGCGTCCGGGTCACAGACACAGACAGCTGCACTGTCACAGGATTCTGCCCTCTATTAACCTCCCCAAACCTTCATAAACTTCCCTCTACGGAGGCTTAAAAGTTTGATGATTCACTCACTGAGTCAATCGTCAGACTTCTTTAATGGCTGCAAAAGCACATCATGCAGAAATATTCTGGATGCTGCGTGTGTCACTTTAGACACTATTCCCCAAAGCAATCACAATAATCCACCTCTTTCCTGTCCTTTGAGACAATCCTCATGAAAGGTTTCAAAATGTCCAGACACTCATATTTAAGAACAAACCACCTGATTGATCCCAACATTAAAAGGTTTGAGCAACTTTGATATTCCTGCTTGATTTATATACATTCCTTCTATTTACATATTACAAACTCATTAGAATTATTCCAAATCATTTTGCTCAAAATTTTCTCCCACACTTGCAGGGGTGTGTCCGGGGGGGGGGGGGGGGTCAAGTTCTTGATTGAAGCAGATTATCCTCGCGTTCACTATTTTTGCGGCTAAAAGAAACTTAAGTTATTGGTACAGTTGTGGAAAATGGATAGGATTTTTTTTTGATCATTTTTGTGCCTGTAGTCCAAACCATTCAAGATCTGGATAGGCATTTTAGATTGATTTGACAGGATCTTTAAGAGCTTTTTAACAGTATCCTACCTCTCATACATACAGTACCTACATCATCTCTGCAGGAAGGAGGATAAAGGAAAAGCCAAGATAATTAATGTAATGAGAAATAAGTGTTATAATGTCTTTGCTACAAACACACTGGAACTTGTTAATCAGGGAGTGAAGGTTTCTGTATAATAGTTTCTTAAGGTGGTTTCACACTTGACCCCAAAGTCCAGTTAATCTGATCAGTGTGAACGTAACGTACCCTGCTTGTACTGTACTTGTGTACAGAGTCTGCTTGAAGAGGTGGTCTCGGGCATGATTCATGTGTACTCAAGTACTGTCCCGCGGGAGATGTGAACAACAACCGTGTCAAACAAGGAAGCGGAACGCTTTATGACATCATTCTAAACGGCTCCTGACGCTTCAAAAAACTGTTGTATCCCGTTTCATCCTCTGAGCTGCACGGTGGATGTGGAAGTAGAAAGAGGGTCGTTGTTGGCGTCTCAGAAATAACAAAAACAGGTCTCAGCCTGCAAAGTGGTTGCCATGGTTACTTCCTCCTCTTTCTGCTTTTTGGCAGATTTGCAAACCAACTATGTGCATACCGCCACCTGCTGTGTCCGAATGTGTACATACACAAGTGTTCTCGGGAACGGAACAGTGTTACAAATGTGAACGCAGACCAGCGGGGGAGAGGGGAGGAATGGTGCACGGGCACCATATGAAACAATCAAGCCTATTGTGAAAACAACCTTAAAGTCTCTTGATTATGGGGCGCAGTGGTTAGTGCGCACGCCCCATGTATGGAGTCTGTGGTCCTTTAAGGGGGCAGCCCCGGTTCAGGTCCGGCCTGTGGCTCCTTTCCCGCATGTCATTCCCCACTCTCTCTCTCTCTCCCTGATTTCCACTCCTCTCCTCTATCCACTGTCCTATCTCTCCATTAAAGGCACAAAAAGCCCCAAAAATAAATCATTGATTCTGCCTTGAAACATTAAAATGCAACCTTGAAGTCTCCAACCAACACAGGGTCAAAAAACCTGAGTTTAAGAGCCGCTGAGTATCTGGAGCAGTGTGGATGAAGGTTGTAAACATATAGCTCAAATTTAGCATTTTTACAAAAAAACATAAAAAAAGAAGATGTAGCTTCACAACGCTGAGAACGACTCTGATCAGAACAAAGAAGTGTGTCTCTCTTAACGTGACTCTCAAGGACTTAGTGGTCGACTTTGAGTCAGTGTATGTGCACTTCTTCACCTCCCTCCTTTAATCTCCCCTGAAACCCGCAATCAAACCCGAGTGACCGTCACGCTGTTTGTGTCGTTGGTTTTGTAATAACATCTCGTGTCGGAGAGGGACGCATAAATCACCTCAGAGCTTTTTGTTTTCTCTCAGGCTCACAAATGAGTTCATGCTTCGCTGTCTGTCATACATTTTCATAATGACTCCTTGATGCGTTGCTGGAATCACAGCCAGCCTTGTTTTGGGCTCTGGGGGGGGGGAACTCGCCATCTGTCGCCTTGTTTCCTCTCCTTCCTCTCCTTCCTCTCCTTCCTCTCTTTCCTCTCCTTCCTCTCCTTCCTCTCCTTCCTCTCTTTCCTCTCTTTCCTCTTCCTCCTCTCTTCCTCTCCTCCTCTCCATCCTCTCCTTTCCTCTCCTCCTCTCCTTCCTCTCCTTCCTCTCCTTCCTCTCCTTCCCTCTGCTGACGATTCCCTCAGCAGTTCTCGCTTTTAGTTTGACACTTCATTCTGAGGACCATTAACCCTGGACCTTCAACTCTCGTGAGGCCACAGGGGGCGAGCTCAGGCAATCTGGTAGCAGGGGGTTTCTTTAGGCGGGGTTGTGTGTCGGTAAAAGGTGTGTTGTTTGACAGATGCTTCAGGGACGGGGACAGAAAACAGAGCCTGATGCATGCTCTGTCTGAGCAAACGAGATTGAACCAAGCTCTCTCTCTCTCGCTCTCTGATAACTCTGCTGAGTTGATTTAAACCCAAATCCATTTCATCAGTATCACCACTGGACTCTGACAGTCTTATTAATACACATAAATACTCACCGCTGCTCTTCATTACCTATAGAACTTCATTTTTATGTATAACTTGTTTTTTTCCTCTTTTTTTCTGTCCTCTAAAGTCTTTGAAGCAGCAGTGTGAATCCTTCATTTTCTTCCTCCCCGAACATAAACAACTCAGGATGTAAAGATACTAAATGAAGATCAGATGACGCTCGGCATGCAGTCATTAAAAAACCATAAAGGAACACAAAAACACATCTGTTGGATCATCAGTCAAAAACATATTTTTAGTCCGTCTTCCATTGACATGAAAGGTGAAGAGTGAAACTCTGAAAGACTCCAGAATAAGATATCAACAAACTCATCCCCAGATTAGGGATCAAATAGAAGGTTCAATACTTTGCACCTGATTTTTAATTTTAGTCCTGCTTTGGAGACTCAAACTATTTGCCATCCTCTGATAATTCCTGCAGACCAGCACAGGAAATATATTTTTTAACATTAAAGGCTTTATATGCGAATTTTTGGAATCGAATATCTTTTATTACATTTAAGTGTGAAAAATCGCATATTAAGCCTTTAATGTGCCTGTGAGGAACTTCCAGTAACTGACTATAGGGGCTTTTGTCTTTTGGCGCTATACATTTTATAGCGCCAAATATATTTATATATATTTATATTTTTGAATGAAAAACTGGTGAGTCTTCAACCCCAATTGAAGAGAACTGATAGTTTGAGCAGACGTGCAGATTACTGGGAGTTTACTCCAGATGTTTGGAGCAGTCAGGCTTCAGAGTAAATCCATGGAGCCGGTCTTTAGGCGCCCCCTTTTCTTCTGTCATTAAAAACTGGCCTTTTCATAGCAGGCCGAGATAACAAACAGACAATCAATAGTCTCGTACTGGCTCATAAACGCAGCTCGGCGCCTAATGATACGTTCAGGTTCATCTGTCAAACTGTGATGAGGAGAGTCGGAGCGTCCCGGTGTTTCTCCGCTCTGTCGTTGATGGTGTTTAAAGACCAGAGATTATCAACTAACGATGTTCCAGCTGCTCTCGTGATGGAGCTCCAACAGTCAAACTGTCCACTGCTGCAAACATCCACAGCTCACCGTTAACGGTCTGAGAAGAGCAGCGAATAAAAGAGGCGTCATGGATCCCATTGCTGTTAAAAAGATGGAAAGCCTCTGATTCATGAGGAGTTTTTATCAGTTTTTTATTTCTAGCTCAGACGGATCCTTTCATTTTGTTCTCCAGGCTTCTTGTTCAATGTTTGCTTGATTCCCTCTTTGTTTACATTTCACCACATTTTCTAATTATTGAGTCAATAAAACAATGCTTCCTGGATGGGTTGATGGATTCTTCCTTTTGTTGATTTGTACCATGGAGCATGATGGGAAATAATTTCAACAGGAATACACTTGAAGTTATCCTGTAAGACAACACATCTCTGAAAAGTCTCATACAGGTTTTGGATTTTGAATGACCCCCCCCTAACACACAGTCCTGTAACCCCTCCCCCCTCCCTTTTCTCCTCAGATGTACATCCAGACGGCCACGCTGACCGTTTCCCTCAGCCTCAGCGCCTCCGTCTCTCTGGGAATGCTCTACATGCCGAAGGTGTACATCATCATCTTCCATCCTGAGCAGAACGTCCCCAAACGCAAACGGAGCTTCAAGGCCATCGTCACCGCCGCCACCATGACCAGCAAGCTGTCGCAGCTGGCGGCCGAGCGGCCAAACGGTGAGGTGAAGACCGAGCTGTGTGAGGGTGTGGAGGCCAACGGTGAGTCTTGTGAGGGGAATTTGAGCCACATTTTAAAGAGGCTTTAACCTTGAGGATACTTTGGGGGCTAAATGACGGGTAGCTATAAAATGTTGAGATGTACTGTGTACAGATTGCTTCAGTCATCTGGTTGTCATGGCTACAACTTAATCCTTTGAGTTAAAAATGCCTGATCCAAGTTGTTTTTATTCCCTGACAGGCTTAGATTGTTTGGCAGGATGCTAATATAATCAGGCCGATATCGATCCCTCCTTCTGACAATTTTAAGAAAATATTTTTTATTTTATTTTGTTCAGATGATCTTGCCAGACTTCCCTGTGTGTAAAGATTGATCCAATCTACTCAGAAGGATGTCCACCAAAGTCACACAATAACAAACTAACTGACCCAGCCTAGATTTTTTTTAAGGTCCATCCATCTATCTATTTTCTTCCGCTTATCCGAGGTCAGGTCGCGGTGGCAGCAATTGAGTAAGTCAACCCAGACTTCCCTCTCCCTAGCAACATGTTCCTCGTCGGGGGATTCTGAAGCGTTCCCAGTCTAGACTGGATTTATAATCCCTCCAGTGAATTCTGGGTCAACCCTGGGGTCTCCACCCAGTTGGCAGTGCCCCGGAAGACCTCCAAAGGTTTTGCGACTTTTCACTACATGCAAAAGTATTTCATGAAACACAAAAACATTTTTTTTTAAAACATTAACATTTTTTAGGAACTGTGAAATAACAAAAATGTTTTGCAGCAAGGGAAATATATTTTGCTTTCCCTGAAAAATGTTTTTGTGTTTCATGAAATATTTGCAAAGTTGACCTTCAGGGCCACCGTAGTTGGGGATACAGTGCCTTGCTCAAGGGCACCTCTGCAGTATTTGGAAAGTTATCCGGCACCACTTCAGCCACCAGTCCAACTTTAATACTTTGGTATTTGGACTTGAACTGATGACCCCCCTCCCTCCCTTCCCAACTCAAGTCCCTGCAGACTGAGCTACTGCCTCCCCATATTAATGTGAAACTTAAAACAAGGTGCATGTATTTGCTTCCATGTTTTACGTTGCTGCCTGCTGAATTAATCTACGGGAGCAATTCCATAACTTTTTGTACCTCTAATCATTTAGACTTCTCAATATCTAATATGTGTTATGTCAGCTCCGTCTGATTGGTTTAAAGCTGGCAGCGTGATTTAATACCTGTGCACATTCAATATGTGGAAAATAATCTTCTACAAAATGAACCTTTATTAGTATTCAGTGTTGTCTGAACCAAAGAAGAAAAAGACTCTGTGAAGTCTTCCACGTGAAGGTGAAGGGAGAGTCAGAAGCCCTCTCCCTCGCTGTAACGAGGATTTAACAAAAAGTTGACTGGAGTTTGCTCAGGCGTCACCTGAGACCAGATCTGATGAAGCCAAACTGTTGACAGAGTTTCACTTCAAAGCTGTGTCTCCGTCCGTCAGCAGAAAAGTCGGAGACGTCGGATTGTTTACTCATCAGAGATGTGCTGACTGAACCGATCTGCTCAATCTAACGAACTGCAGCGCTCACATCACTTTCTCAGCTTCCTCCTAATCCTGCAGCGTGTTCAGTGAAGGGGAGGGGAGATACAGGGGTTTTTAAAAACGACATTGTTGAGGCTTATTAAGCCCAACAAATCATAACAACTGCTAATGTCTGAGTTTTACGTACATGGTCACCTGAGGTTAAATCCCAACAGTTTAAATGACTGATTAACCTGTCCTCTAAAACCATCATCAAGGAAAACTATTAAATTTATTTATAGATTCATATTGTACCAGACATCATGAAATAATGTTAATATATTACATTTCTGCCTAAATTGAATTCTTTACAACTCCAGGATTCTTTGACTTGAAAGTGTTCTTTTTGTGTTTGCATTTTGCTAACATCCCGAAGTTGCATCAGTAATGGTTGATATGAATTCCATGCAAAAACATTTTTAATTTGAGTTGTCAGCTTGTCTCCTCTTGGATAAGACCTCAAAGACCTTATTCATTGTTAAGAACAATGGGATGCCCCCTCTGACAGCGCTCTCTCAGACAATAGAAAATGGCTGAATGCTGTTATTCTAGCTCTAATCAGGGGGGAGAGATACTTGAATGACAAAACCCAAGGTAGCCTAACATAATGGCGTTTGTTTTTGTTAAATTACAATTTTCTTTATATTCATATTTTGAAATAATACTAAAGTGAACTTTAGGATTCACGATGGTGAACGCTGGTTAGGGGTTCCACCCGTGAATTTTGGCTGAGGTCCCCAACACACTTCAGAATCCATCCATAATTTTTTGTATAGCGCCAATTCATAACAAGTGTTATCTCAAGGCGCTTTACAAAAGGAAAATAGGATAAGATGCAGGAAGGATGTCTCTTTTGTATTCTTGGCGTTCCTGTTGTCCACACTTCCTAGCCGCTGAGGTGGAGGTCAAAGCAGGACGTGCATGAATGAGGATGGAGGTGGTTGTGGGGACGACACAGTCTGATGGTGGTGGCTGGGCGTCAGGGATGTCGGGTGGTAGTAGTGCCCGATCACCTCGCTGAAGGATGGGGGAGCTCCTTCTACTGGAGAGCCCGGCTTCTGTTCTGCTGCTGGTACAAGGCCTCCTGGGCTTCTGAATCACCTGGCTGTGCTGTGGTCGATCAATTCTTGGTTCAGTGGTTCTGTTCAATGTCTTCTCTTCTTTGGTACAGTAGTAGCTGTTCCAGTTGTGCAGGTTGCCCTGAAGTTTGTCAAAAGGATGGACATTTTATCTAGAGTCAAACGATACTTTGGCTGATCAGTGACATTAGAAATCATTCTCTAAATCGGCTTTATCTTGCAGGGACTGCTTGTGGATAAAATAGAGTCACTTTACCAATCTGCTCTTTCTTTTCTCTCCTCAGTGCCTCCAACAAAAAACACCTACGTCAGCTACACCAACCACGCCATGTGAACAACTTACTCCTTCAACGCGAAGAGGTGACGGAGACAAAAATGAGAAGATTCCTGTCAGAGTCAGAGGAGACGTCGCCGGAGTCAGAACTGAGGTGCTCTGAACAATGTGAAGAATGAGAAGGAACTGAATCAACACATCTGTGGTGTTTTTAATGTTTACAGAAGAAAGGGAACTGGCCTGAATGGCGCCAAAAAACCTGGAAGAATCACAACTGAAAAAAACATCCGAGAGGACGCAGGAGGAGGATGGCACCTGGAAGGATGAAAAAAAAGAATAATCTATTAAAAGTCTTCAAGAAGAAATACAAAAAATAATTTGTGGGGGACCAACCATATTTGTTGTGATTCTAATTGTACGTTTAAAAAAAAAAAAAACTTGTGGTTGTGAAATTTCTGATTCTTGTCTCATGTCGTCCGTCCCGTCGACCTGCATTATGAGATGAGTGCGTCGCTGTTTTTCGGCTAACTGAACGGTAGCTTTTGGTCGTGAAGTGTCTACATGCCATGGTTGAATTGAAGCATGCCCGTTTTTTTTATACAAATGATCTATTTATAATAAAGGAATGTTTCACAACTCTGTGCCGCGCTTCAATCTGTTGGAGGGGGGGGAGTGTGAATGAGGGAACAAATGAACAATTAGTTCAAACCAAGCAATCTGATGATAATAATGCAATACTTTATTGTCCCTCCAGGGGGAAATTTGTTGTCACAGCTTTGCACGGTTGGTACACAGGTATAGGCTACATATAGCACGGGATGAAACATGTAAACAACAGGAAGAAACAGAGAGACAATGAAAGAGGCCAGTCAGCATGGAAGCTTATTAAGAGCTTCAATAGCCGAGGGAACAAAGCTCTTTTCAAAGCTTGCCCTCTTCCGGGTGAGAGTCCTGGATCTCCGACCTGATGGCAGAAAAAGAGAGGAGTGGATTGAGTGGGTGAGAGGGGGGTCCTGGGCTGCGGTGAGTGCTCGCTGAGTCAGGGCTTTGTAGTTGAGCTGTGAGAGGTTTTGGGGTAGGTAGGCCAATTATTTCTGAAGCAATATTTGTGATATGGGTGAGTAACAACAGCGAGCATGTTGAAGAAAGCGGGTGAGCAGTAGAGGAGGATGTGTTGGATGATGCTTTTATACAGAAGTAATAAAGGGGGAGGTGAAACGGAGAGGGCGCTGAGTGTGCGTTAGGTCGAGAGTCTTTGCTGGCATCGTTTATGAGTGTGAGTTGTGCAGCAACATAAGTGTTGCACATTCTTCCTGATATACAAAACACAATGATTTACATGGTGCGATTAGATAGGATGTGACAGTTAAGACGTGACCCGTTTATTCGCCAGAGAAGAATTCCTCCACATCCCTGCATTATTAAACTGCGGAGGAAATGAACAGAAAGTCCATCCTCACTGGAGTCGACCTTTCACATCATACAAACCTGAGTATGGCAGGAACTCGGCACAGTGTGCGCCTCATTACAGACTTCAGAGAGAAAAAAAGACAGTCGATGTGATCAATACGTGCTGTGGAACCCGAGAGGCTGGATCAATACGAGCTGCCAGAGAGAACTCTTCATGCATGTAATGAATATTTCTGCATCTCCTGGCAGAGAAGAAGAAGAAGAAGAAGAAGAGGACAGATAGAGTCTGAGGGATGAAGCCTCCAGGCATCCTGCTTTTTATTTCCCCCGACACAGCTCTCATTTCACACAGTTTCAGCCAGGAGACAGAAAATGAATTGACGTCCTCACAATGAAATAAATCTGAATTCTTCCACTGGTTTGGAGTTTGTTCTTCTGTTTAGCCGACAGGTAAGAGTTTGTATCTCCTGCTTATGGAGCTCTGAACAGGAAGTCTAAACTACAAGTTCAGTTTTCATCTCTCGATCAAGGTCACAATTCATTCTTCCGCTTCCGATGTGCAGCTGTTGAAAATAAACACAAAAATAAAAACTAATCATCAATCATGACACCTGGGTCGTAATGACCTTTGAACCCTTTACTTTTCATGTTTCTACTTGCATAATTCACAGGACTATGGCAGAGTGACTCAGTTTATACACAAAACAAGCGGGCACCATTACAGCACTTGTTTGTACAGAGTGTAGGAAGTTTCTGACCCCAGCCAATTAACAGCTGTCCCCTAATCCCTCCAAAAAAGCAAATTAAACGAATACAACTAATTGTACAACAATGCTCATTGTTGTTTTCTTTCCGGCTTTCTTCTGCCTAGGTGATGTTAGACTTCTGGGTCAGAGCCCACATGAAAATTGGGGGGCTTATTGAGCCGAATACATGCGAGATCTAAATCGACCCCCAATTGCATTATCTGAAAGTGCAGCGAGGAGGTTCCTGGTTTGAATCCCTGTCATAAATGGCCTCATTGTGTGGAGTCTGCATGTTCTCCCCGTGCATGTGTGGGTTCTCTCCGGGTACTCCAGCTTCCTCCCACAGTCCAAAGACATAGGTGTGAATGTGAGTGTGTCTGGTTGTCTGTCTCTATATGTCAGCCCTGTGATTGGCTGGTGAACAGTCCAGGGTGTAACCCCGCCTCTCGTCCAAGGACAGCTGGGATGGGCTCCAGTGCCCTGCAACCCCAAACGGGAAAAGCGGTAAAGATAATGGATGGATGGATGGAAATTGACAATTACCAGATACTCTGTGCGTGCCGCAGTCCATCGGCGCTGTTCGCTGCCACAATAGTCAATGCTCCTGTTTCCACAGCGAGCACCGCAGCTCGCCCGCCTCTGCAGCGTGCCAGCAGCAAGAGTACGATCTGCTCTGTTTCTAATACACTGCAAGTCTATGCACTGCAAGCACGCGTCAAGCTGGACAGAATAGGTCGAGGCGGACAGGAAGTCAGACAAGGAAACGCACAGAGAATCCAGTCAATTTCAAAATAAAACACAATACACGTCAACACATGTATCAAAGCAACTTCAGAAAGACAAAGTTAAACATTGTTTTTCTCTTGATTCCCTCGTGATCTTGTGGTTCTCCTCTGAAGAGAGTGGTATTGATATTTTCACTCTCCCAAAATATTGAACTCCTCTTAACTAACCTCCAGTCGAGAGGACAATGAGATAAGGATTCATATTTCACTCTGAGGATTTAATGAGTTGATTTGATGGTTCTCTGCACATTTCAGACGATGAAGCAGCTGATGAATTTTGACATTGTCATCCCAAAGAAACCCATTAACTGCACAATGACGTCTGTCCTACTTCTGTCTGGTGGCTGCACGCCGGCTGGTTTCAGAGCGTACAGTCTCTCACGGCTTTCTCCTCCAGCACTCAGTGTAACTCAGTCTGATGAATGGATCACCATATCCCTCCGTTTTACATTTCATTCATCTGTGATCCAAGTTCCAAAGTGATAGTTTAGAAGTAACCCAGTGTAATGAATCTACTGGTCCCACTTCTCAGAGTAAATGTTACTTTGAACACAATCTCAAACCTCATGGGGGAAACGAAAGCTGCTTAATATTGGTTTGTTCACTGAGACAGAACTAATGTGGTGGTGACCTCTGACCCCATAGCTGTGAAACCCAAGGGGCCAATTATTTCTAAACATGGAAATTACAGATCGATAACTACTGCTTTTTCCGCCAAAGTGCCGTCACTAAGCTCAGCCGTCATCACGTCTTTGTTCACTCATTATTGATTCCAAGATTTCGTCAAATTGGTGTCCCTGTCTGTGCATTACCATTGTGTTTCTGCATTGTGGCACATGCACTCACACACCACCTCCCTCGCCAACGCCTCTGTCACCTCATCCCCGCATTACCCACAATCCCCACATACCGAGTGCACACCGCTGTCCGTCAGCGGTTTTGCTCCGTTCCGACGGCGTGTGCCCTGCCATGATCAGATGTACACACATCACAAGAGAACTACAAGATCACACAGGATTTCTGATTTGTTGTTTGTTTGGTTGCTGTTATAACATAATGTTGATAAAGTGGAAAAAAAATATGATCGCGATTCATTATTTTGTGTTTTATTTTGAAATTGACTGGATGCTCTGTGCGTTTCCTTGTCTGACTTCCTGTCCAGCAGTGGATAGAGTTGGAAATCAGGGAGACAGAGAGTGGGAAACGACATGCAGGAAATGAGCCACAGGTTGGATTTGAACCTGGGCCGCCCGCTTGGAGGACTACATCGCTCGCTGTGGAAACACATTATTGACTAGAGATGCAGCGAACTACAGCGTAGTGCGTGGCGCTGACGGACTGCAGCACGCACAGAGTATGTGGACATTGGGGGTAAAGACGGTCTGAATGTGGCTGATGATCTGTTGATTCCTGCAGGAGCAAAAGAATCAAACACAAGAGGTAGAGGTTCAGAGTGGACCGGATGATATCTGAAGGCTATGACATCCAGTGTGTCATAAAGTTTCAGATCCTTCCAGTAACATGAATCAATAATAATCAGCAGAGCCACTGTCAGCCCAGGGCAGAACCATCTGAAACAGAAATGTGACAGACGGGTCTGAATGAGTTCCCACAGAGGGAGAATCAGCCGAGCAGCCTGGCAGAACACACTGCTTGTATTTATGAAGTGACTGCCAGGAAGTAATCAGCTCCAGGGAGGACACTGCCAAAAGAATCAGCAGAAAGGAAATTAAATTCAGTCCACTGAGGTTTCCAAAATATGAATTTGAATAAAGAGCTCAGAGCTCACTTACATCACTGGTCTACTGAGGAAGAAACAGGAAACCAAGAAGTAAATTCTGACGCTAAATCTGAATTTTGTACCTCATTCCTCCTAATTTTGCATTTTTAAGCGAGGACTCTACTTTAGTTTGGAAGCACAACCACAGGTTTTAATGCTGTACTGTTTTTGTTTTAATTCTCAACAAGAATATTGCAATATTGGGTTGAACATTTTTATTGAGTGTTAAAGACAGGGTTGGTCATTTTCAAAAACTAGCATGATTTTGAAAGTAGCATTCCCTCAGTGCTCCATCTGCACCCCTCCCCACTGTGCTCCCTCTAAAGCCACGCCCCCTCACTTACATGCACGAGCGCCGTTGATCCTGAAGTGGACCTCAGCTCATCTCTTGCATTGTGTAGAAACTACGTCGTCTCATGTCTCATTCAGTAAGTAAACTCACAGTATAAACTCCGTCATCGGTGACGCGCTTTGAGTGTGAGCTAGAGCACGCAAGAGGTAGAGAGCGAGCAGGGAGACAGGAGGTCTGATTGGTTCATCAGATTGGTACCTCGTGACAGACATTGGTAGAAGTTTTTACAGACTTATGTAGCCCAGTCTAAAATGTATCATTTCAGACAGTTAAATACGTTAAAATGTCATTTAAAAAAAATACAAACGTTGACAAATAAATAAACGAGATAAATATGTCTATGACGAGAGAAATGTTACGTTAACATGAGTTAATTTAATTCTTTAAAAATAAAACAGTTCATAATTGTTAAAAAGCGAAGCTATTTGCAGACTGATAAGTCTTTGTCAAGGTGTAAATAAAGTTAATTGAAATTCAAACAGGTTTGGTTGCAGTAAACACACGAGCAACGTGGTCAGCTCACAACCTAACCTAAGAGACTGTT